GGATACTCCAAATGCGGGGCGCAAATAATGCCAAAACCTGCAGTTACGCTCTGCACACATTAGATAATAACAATAATTTATAACTAGTTTAAATACAATAACTAATCTAAAGAATTAACTAATAACTGTGCCTACCACCCGTGTATAAGCGAAATTTATCCGGAATCTGTTCAAGCGTAACCGTCTACTTCCTGGTTGGCATCATTCACTGGCAAACAATGCTTACGCGAGCTCTTATCACGTCGCCGGTAGGGGGTATTTCCTATAACAGAAAGGGGTATTTCCCATATCGCAGAAAGGGCGTATTTTCAGATCGATTCAATGATTAGCCTTACTGAATAGATAACGCTATAAGTTTAATCTGGTAAAGGTGATGCCTGGTCGCCATAAATGGATCTGATCGATCACTTCCAATGGATATTTATATCCGCAAAAATTGCTCATCGCCGTGATCACAAACAAATCGTTGCCGTGTAAATCATCGGTCGGAGTTGAAAGAGAGCAGCTTTGGGCATCTAGTAGAGCTTTCTGAAGAGAATCGAACTCAACGGCGCAAATAGTTCTGCAACGATGGCGCACCATTTCACGCATTCCAATCACAGATGTATGGGCATCCAACATATATACAAAGTTACCCCCATCTGCAAGGAAGGAAGCTAATTATGTCCACTGTTTATCACATAATATCTGTTCGCTGCGAACTGTAAAACAAAAGGAACATTTCGGCTGTGCACTGTATACTATACGATAGTAGGCGCAGTTTTTTTGTATACTGCACTAATCTACATTTTATTTGTTTCTTTTATCGACACCACAATCGTCATGCTGACAAAGCCTGATTGTGGTGATGAATAGAAAAGCATATGGTTTGATGAAACGAAGCATTCTTGCTTATCAATTTTTAGTATAATTTTATGCACTTTTATACATATTTTAAATTAATACCCCTACTATTCACTGTAGCCAATACAAACGAGAAAATCATAGAAAAGAAGCGTACAGGCTTTATCAGGCACTCGACTATGCACCTCGGAACAGCTCGACTCGTAGTCGAAGTCAAAATAGCTGGCAACCATTTGGAGTGCATGAGTGGTACCGGAGGTGAAAACAACATTGTATCCTTTCTCATCAGTGTTGAAAAACCGTAGAATCCTGTAATTATAGAGGAAATAATGGTGTTTCAATTCCAAATTTCGCTTTCTCTAGTAATTGTTTTTAGAAGGCAAACTCGATGGCGCAAACTAAGTATACGCCTTAAACAAAGTCTTGCGCTGACAGCTGTCGTGATAAAACTGCCGAGGAAGGCTTTGTTTGCGCGTAGTACCTAATGGCAAAGTAGCCACCAATTAGAACCTAGATAAGTATCAAAACTCCACTTATGTATCAGGTTTACTTAAATTCTCAGCATGGGGCGCTTTATTCGCTGTGGTGCACGCGCATGTCGCGTGACCCGAAGGCATCAAGACCAATTCATTCCGTCTTAAACTATCTGTCCTTTGCTTCTGTTCTTTTTCCAAAAAGTGAAAGGCGCTGGAAAAGGTAGGATTTGGGAGTGCAGTTTCATTAAAACTGAGTCGTTTGTTTTGGAAAAAAAGCTGACGTGTTTCTAGCAGAATGTATAATATCGTTTGTGCGTTGAGCACTACGATGTGTGCTGTGTGGATTTG